GCGGTGAAAGTGGTTGTAGAAAACGATCCGACTGTAAATCGATGAACAGGTGGGCAGCGGGCAGGTGGCAGACAGAATAGAAACGACTTCTATGTACACCAAAGGACAACAATACCTCAGCCTGAATGGTGAGGTATGTAAATGGATGATTGTGGCGTGTAATGGGGATTTTTACTGCAGATGATGACAGCGCGTGTGGTGGTCGTGAATTCGTGGCGATGATGATGATGATGGCTGCTTGTGATTGCAACACGTATGGATATGGAGATCTTCCGGAAAATTAAAGACCGTGTAACTCGTATATAGACATTGCAAATACGATACCGTACTTTGGGAATGAACTTGACTGGTGGATTAAGACCTTCCAACCCCTGGTAGGTGACACTTCGATCAGTATTCAATTACGATACCGTACAGCGGAGCCTGTTCTTCAACGGCCTGTTCGCCCACGTAGGGTCTATCGGTGTAATCTACCCAATCTACTAGATCTATTAAAAAAGTAGAAGAGTCTGTGCCTAGGGGCACGAACGGAGGCTTGACGTAGGACCGCTAGTGAACGGAACAAATATGTTGATCAATTAGTTCTTAAGTCTTTCCGTTTTTGAATTAGTGGCCCTGAAAAGAGCCGGTTGTTTTTCAAACACCAGTGCAAATCGATGCCGACCGAATGTTGTGGCCTAGGCATGCTGTCTATTGCGGGAAGCCTTTCCTCCGGTCGATGTGGGTGCTTTCGTCGTCGTTTCAGTGATGTCATATACAGAGATTTATCTGTAATGATACAGATTTTTCTCAAAATTTTTCTACAGATATCTGTATTTACAGATTACAGTCTTTTTTTTTTAATATACAGATTTTTCAGATTTTTCAAATAAATGGACTATATGTTTAACTCTGGATTGTATTTATAAATATCCATAAATAATCCTTTCTTCCTTTTGAGTAGGTACAAGCACCTAACCAAATGCCAATTTTTCACTTTTTATTCTATTATCTTCGTTAATTTTTAACGGACTTCTGATGCTCAGATGTTCTGATTTCTGATGCTCAGATGTTCTGATTTCTGATTGCTCGTTAGAAGGGATGTTAGTTTTTCATTTTTATTGTTTAATTAACCATATCGCATAGTGACAGGTACTATGATTATTTATTATTATTTGTCGAATCGGTAAACATGCCGTTTTAACAACCCACATGCTGATTGATTATGTTTTGTGAGTCGAAGAGTCAACTGGATATTTTGACATTCGACTAGTGTAATATCAGAAATAAAGTATGTTATATGCAATTCTACTTAACATCCAAATAAAAGTTATGTGTTTTGATTAAAAAAAACAATATAGTTGATAAAACATATGAACACGATTGCAAATAGTGAAATACAGATGAAACCACCCCAAATTTATTCACAAAAAAATACTGAGTACCCTTAGGTATATAGATTAGAGCCACACCAAGGTAACAAATTGATGCTTAACAAGTGTTCTTTCAACGATTTTAATTCTGGCTTAGTTTTAATAAATGTTGTACATAGACCACTTTAACCTTTGTTCAGCTTTTAAACATCTAAATCTGGTGATTTTAATCAGCCCAAAACTTAACAACAATCTAAATTATAAGCTTTTCAATGCATTAACCAACAGTCTTTTCCAACCCTTGTTCAGCCTTAATTTTTTATTTAAAAAAAATATAATGGAAGACCGCTTCATATCTTATATTTTTTTTATGAGACTGCTTTAGAATGTTGCTGACTAATTGGATTTACATATTGTTATTATATGTCTAAAATTACCTTTACATTTCGGGATTCAAACCGGCAGTCGCTGATTCACAGGCGTCAACTATACCCACTCGACCACATAAGCATATTTGTGGCAGAAGGTATGATCATTAACATGAAGCACGTCAAAATTAAGTTGAACCGGAAGAGTATTATACAGCAATGCCGAATTATAAACAATAAATTGTGACAGTAAAACATTCCTCTCATTTCAAGTGTAGTAAACACAATGTGGACACAAGTGCGTGATGTATTTCGATGCTATTTTAGTGCTATTATTGAATTCTATTTTTGAAATAAGGTATGAAAATTCAGTGCAATATAAAGTGGTGAACAGACAAAACACAGGAATACTAATGTTAATACTTCCGACGTCGTCGCAGTCCACTTCTAGGTGGAACTATTCTTAAAAAGCTTCTCTTCCTTGTCAATTGTCTCTACTGCTGGTGCTGCTTGGGATTAGAAAGGTAGGCAGTGAATTTAGAATATCTAAAATGTCGGAAATGCAACTGATGACATTTAACAATATTGTGCAATAAATTCATATTATTCTATCAAGCTATCAGAATATTTGTAGCGTATTGCTGGTTTGTGGAGTAGTATTAAGCTTAAATAAGTCTTGTTGTTCAGTCTTTATATCAGCTAACTTACTGAGGTTGAATTATGGGGATACAATTCGCTTCATGCACTACTAATCAACTGTATATTCAGCCTGGTGTTAATCAGCTTCGTACACCTTAAATCAACCAATAATCAACCTTTGTTCTTACAATTCAGCTTGAATTGTTACTTGGGCAGCTAGCCAATTCAATATACTTTTAATCTTCCAAATGATTCGATAAAGTTGAAAATTTGATTTGATTAAAAGAGGTTGAGAAAATGAAACATCGAGCATAACATTTTACAACTAATACTTCATAAAATTTCAATGCTTATTTTTCATTTTCTAAAATTGCTGAGTAAAAAAAAAATCAAATGACATTAAATTTCAGGTTTGTCTCTTACTACTGGGACTTGATTTTTGTTTTGTATTTTTAGTCTTTTAAAAAAGATACAAATCACTTTAAAAAATTCATTATTTAGGATTTCGTGGTCATTTAAATAGATTATAAAGAAAGCAAACTTAAGTCATTCTTGAAGATTCTGAACTATGAACAAACTATTTCTGAACAACTCAAATGAACTCAAAGTATATTTACGGCGATCCGCAATAATATCATACTATAGACTTTATACAGATTATTTTACAAATTTTTGTCAGCCAGAAACAGATTAAAAAGATTTTTACGGTGAAAATACAGATTGATAATGGAAATAATGTGGCACCACTGCGTCGTATTTGTATTGGTGCGATGCATGCTGTACCACTCATAGGTCGTGTCCGACGCTTATCCGTCCGTTGCTCGAAACAAAATGACGAAGAAAACGATTTGGCAAGCGCTTGTATTATCGCAGCTTTTCTCCTCCCTTCCTTTCATTGGTGAAATGGTGAGCGAGCAACCGAGCATTGAGCTCGCTCATGTGAGCATGCGCAATGCGTCGTTTGTTCGATTTGAATCAACTTGCTTTGAACTATTTCATTTCATCACTTTATAATAGCTTTTATCACGTTCTAACTTTGCTTTTAGCTGAAGTTCTAAATGGGAAAGCTCATCTATCCTTTTGCTAGCTTTTGTATTTAGTTTTTGGTTTATCTCGTGTCTACCCACCTTATCCACTAAACTACAAACTTGAGTAGTTTTTATTCCAGCATCATTATAGTTGAGAACATATTCTGGTTGTGTTCTTAAAACAGGGGGTATGTAAGTAGCATAACTTAATTTGAACAAACAGAGACACGAAGAATAAGGTAAATCCAAATGAAAAAGATAATTTGCAACATGACCGTGAATGAGAAAGCTTGGATTACCAAAATTTACACAAGACCGTAAATTACCTCTAATGACATGACATTTAACTAAATCACCAGCTACCAGTTCAGATCGAATTTTAAACAATCTGTTTTTCCCAAAAAGGCAACCAAACTTGTCGCCTTACACCCTGTTCCTGGTTCTTTTGATGTTTGCCAAAGACGTCATCGTAAACACGCCAAATATGTTACTATATAAAACAGTGTTCACACATTGCTAAGCGGATGGAAATTCGATTCCCGAGAATAGGAAAATGCCTTTCATAGCACAAGGCACCATCGGATCCTATTTGGAAGGTTAAACGGTTTGTTTACCATTCATCGTATGTACGTATGCGGTCTAGTACATTTCTTTGAAAAAATAATCTAACAACAAGTTGATAAAGAAGCCATAAACGTCGTAAGCGGAATTAATATTCACGATTTCCTTTGGAATTTGGGTAGAATTTCACCACTGATCATTTCTACTTTGATCGTTTGGCTGACAATCAATTTATTCGTCAACGATAGTGATAATTGTTTGATGGCATATATTTGGGGGCCTCCCGATGGCTCCCGATTTCCGTTGCCATATAGAGTACCACAATCGTGGTATCACAATCAACAAATGTGAATGTGTTCAAATTGGACGTAGCAGCCAAGAGATAGTAGAATATGATAGTTATTATTAATTTATTCTACTCTATATTGCTGGCAGTCATCGCATAATGTTTTCGAAATTCACACTAGAAGTTCAGAACTTAACTGCAACCTTTGTTAATTTGCAACATCACAAATCAAAAGTCAAGAGCCACATGTGAAAAGGGCATACAAGCTTTTTGTAAACAAACCTTTGTAGGTTATTTCCTCACCAACCGAGGATCGCTCACGCAAACCAATAACATCATCGAGAAGAGAAAAGTTTCCTCTACCCGGTGATGTTGATAGTTTGCGTTGGTGTCATATGGGTGGCGAGAAAAGGCATAAGAAAGTTTGTTTACAAAAAGCTTGTATGCCCTTTTCACATGTTGTCCTTGAAGTAATGTTTAGCTATATTCATTAATTGTGGATACAACTATTCAAAGTCATCTAAAAGGGACCAAAACTGAGTGCAATGCAATTATCACTTTTTTAGCATTCAATTAAACATTAACCAACAAGCAGCATTGATTGTTTATGATAAAGACCTCACTATTGTCGAATAAGCATCACCTCGTTGAAAAATGTACAACACTATGTGCTGTCATCATGTCATGTCCCCCAGCTTTTCCAGCAACAAAGGCCCGGTCCAAACAAGGGAGGCAAATGACGTAAATGACGTAGTTGATTGTTTACCTGCATCGAGTTTTCCTGCATTCGTCTCCGGGCCATCTCGAGGATGATTCGTTGCCGGAGCACATCCAGTGGGTTCACTATCGACAGCGAAGCTTTCGTCCTCTTGGCAGGGGCAACCAAACTATTGTCTTGCGGCTGAAATGGAACAGAAGAACGGAGAAAAGAACGGTAAGGATAATGTGTCGGATTGGGCATGTCTTGTCTGGGTGGATGGCTATCAGAGTTGTGCTCAATGGAAGCTGTGTGAAGTAGACGCTGTTGATGGGTTGCTGCAAATCTAGTAGAAGCGCGCACAACCGACGACCAGGAGGGTACGTCGCCTAGCTGGAGGTGAATAGGGAAACGGATAAACACAATGTAATGAAGGAGGTTGTTTATTGTGACACTGAAGTCATTTCCATCCTCATTAGCGAATACCTACTAGCATAATAGATAGTCGGTGGTAGTATCATTTCTACGTCATTCAAAGAGAAGACTGGTATACTATAATTATTCTGTCATTCATTGGAATAGAGGAAAGGGCTCTACTGTCGGGCTGTGGATGTGAAAACTGGGCTGATCGATGAAATTCTTCAATTTTTCAAATATTACAAAATAATATAGGCCCCGTGGAGAATAGAAGAACTATGAAAGAGATGATGATTTAATTTTTTTTCACAACTTTCACAACAGAAATGGTAAGTATGAGTTTTAATGAAACAAAAGTGATTATTTATTATTTTTTAGTTATTTATGTGATGTCCTTGATAATGCATTTAGCATCTTAAATAAACAGAAAACTATTATGAATTAATAAAGCTTAACAAATAATCAATCAATGGCTCAAAGGCATCAGATTATGACTTCCGACGTCAAAAATGGAATCAGCATCCCAGAATTAACTATATATGAGATATTCAGCTAGATTCCAAAACATTTTAGGTTTTGTCCGACTTTTGTATTGAAGCCTGTAAGTAAGTATTTTTCACAATAATCATAATACATAATACGTATATACATTGAAGTACAAATATAAAAGGGCACCCGATTGAAGCGATTTGGACGGAGAGAGTTAGAATGACAACTCCCTCTTGATAACATTTCGTGGATAAAGGGCGGGCTCTTTTCCCCACTCATTGGGGCATCTTCCTGTTTGGGGGTTTGTCTTTTTGACTAATTGGCTGATCAAGTTGCTGGATGGAGATTTTTTTTTTTTGTTTCGTAAATGCGTATAGGCGACTTTGCCTATCGATCAACCCAATCCGTTTTTGGCCCTTCATACAGCGACATTTTGAGGACAATCAGAGGTTATTAAGCTTGATCAAGACAAACAGAGAAGAGAGCCCACTGCTGTCAGACTTAGTATCCGTGCTACAATGGGTGGTAAACCACTATCATATCTATATCACTTTTTTATTGAAGCCCGCTACTGTGCGTCGGTAGCATTGGTACTCAGTACGGAAAACAAGATGGACGAAAAACAAATATAGCAATTAATCTCACTCAAGACGTCAACTCAACTAGATGCAATCTTAGAGCGTTATTTTTTTTCTGCTAGATTTAATTCCCAGCCCACGGCGCATTGTTTCCAAGAACCAAATCTACCATTCTGGGGGTGAGCAAGTTAACTCTTCAAACATAAACATTGTTTATTGGTTGCCCTAGTGTACATTCTATGATATCTAGATAGAGCTGGAATTAGGGCGAAGTAGCTTTTGTAAACAATTACTTCTCTCGATGATTTCTAGGAATTCAAGGTACGTCCACGCAAATTAAGATAACCATTGGGTAGGGGAAGCCACCCTCTATCCCATGATGATGTTAATGTACATACTTCAAATCTCCGCGTACATCGTACGGGTTAGGAAAAAAGTGTGCGTTTGACTTTGTTCTGTCGCATTAATGGCCCTTCGCTCATTTTCAACTTCTATTCAATTTTCATACTGCCGTACTCTAACGGAACTATGTATCTACTTACCCTCTTCTAAGAACATTCTCTAGCTAATAAATTATCACATTAAAGCTTCATGTTAGATAGCATTTCCAACCAACTCTGAAAATCGCAAACTTCGCGTATGAAGTAACATAAAAACACTTTGAATCTGCAATTTTGTAATGTTTACGCCGGCAGATTTTCATCACAATCGTTCAAGTGGTTACAATGATGGCGTCGGAACAAGAAAAGAAGCGCAAACAAATTTTGTACACTTACTTCGAAAAATTCAAACGCGTCACATAGATGGATAGGAAAACAGCTTAGAATTCATCATTGAACCGTATCGCGTGTGATCAAGACATTAATTCAATTTTAAAAATAAATAAATTTAAAATTTGCCAAAAAATTCATTGCCTGCAAGGCAATTTGGGGATGTGTGAAAATGAATCAGCCCTTCATCACATCTGACACCATTAACAAGCAAATTCACAAGGATGAATGCCTCCAGAAGCGCCGCCTGCCCTTCCTGAAGTCCCACGGCGGCCAGGCGCTGTTTTAGTCGGATTTGTTATCTTGCCATTAGGGAAGGTTCATTAATTATGCCACGAAAATTTGGCCAATTTTCAACTCCCCACCCCCATTTGTCACATTTTTTGTATGGACATAATTTTTATTTTGTATGACCCGTCACAATTTCAAAAAACCCTCCCCCCTAAAAGTGTGACATAATTAATGGACGATCTCTTACGCCCGACCAGTCTTAGACTGGTACAAAAACAACATCCGAACACGCCGGAACTTCACCCAGTCGATAAATATTGGGCTATCATGAAGCCAAAACTTTACAAAATCCCTTAGGTGGTGGAAAATGAACTGGATTTGAAGAAAGAGTGGTTGAAACTGCCGAAACAAGTTGGCTCCACTATTGCCCAAAATCTAATGAACAGTGTCAAGGCAAAGGTGCGGGGATTTGGTTATGGAGAAGAGGTTCAATAAAGTTATGATGTTGAAACATAAGCCTGTAGATTTGAAGACATACTTCAAATCTCCAATGTACGGGTTAGGCAAAGAAGTGTGCGTTTGACTTTGTAGGTACTGTCGCATTAATGGCCCTTCGCTCATTTTCAACTTCTATTCAATTTTCATACTTCCGTACTCTAACGGAACTATCCACCTTCCCTCTTCTAAGACCATTCTCTAGCTAATAAATTATTACACTAAAGCCTCATGTAAGATAGCATTTCCAACCAACTCTGAAAATCGCAAGCTTCGCGTATGAAGTAACATAAAAACACTTTGAATATGTGTCTCATTATTTTCGAATATAGTCTTTACCAACTTCTAGGTGAACATGGTGGAATTCGGCAATATTCTGTAGTGGAAAAGGCAACCAACCGATTTTTTTAATCATTTGATAAAACTTTATATTAATAGCTGCAGCATGTGCGCCACAGTGTTCACTCGGCTGTCGACAAAAGCAGGCCACTCTCGATGTGTGCCACACGATCGTCTTGTTTATCGAAAGCACTGGCGTGCACAGGATGGGGCAAGGTGGGGGCAATTGACCCCTCTTTCATAAATAAGATTTTTATTTTCAAATTTTCAAAATTAGAATATTAAATAACTTGATTTCTTGATAACTTGATTTGAAGGTAAAATAACTTCATTTCATAATACTGAAAACCTTTTATTGCGTCAATTCCTTTGAGATGGTGCCTGAAAATTGCACCACAAAGATGCGTCAAGGGACAAGTTTAAATTACATTTTTTGGTCAAAAAATTGCTCCACAGTGGTGCATACAAAAAATCTTGGTGTAATTTTTTGGAGGGTTAAAAGAAGAGGGTAAATTTAAGGTTGAAAAAATTTACCTTTGTGGTGGTAAATTGAATCAAAAGCTTTTTACTGAATATTTCTGGTGTAGAAATACCATCAAAGTGGTGAATGTAGAAGCAAAGTTTATTAATTTTTCTGGTACGTAATTTGCATCATTCTGATGAATGCAAGCTTCATTGAAAATTTATGGTGGAAAACCTGCACCATTCTGGTGCATGAAGAGGCAAAGCTTGAAAATTACACCACAAAGGTGCATGATGATACAAACTTCACTGAAAATTTTTGGTGCACTGTTCTGGTGAATGGAGGACCATGATTTATTGAAAAATTTTGGTGAAAAATTTGCATCGCTCTGATAAATGCAATGAACAGAAAATTTCTGGTGGAAAACTTGCACTGATATAGAAAATAAAGGTACAAGTTTTATTTAAAATGAAGCTTTATTGAAAATTTCCGGTGAAAATCTGCACCGTTCTGGTGAACGGATGGGCAAGCTTTTCGGAAAAATTTTGGTCTTAAAATTGCATCCCTCCGCTGAATAGAGAAACAAATTTTAATAATTATTTCTGGTGTAAAATTTGCACCATTCGGATGATTAGAGGGAAGCTGCTTTACTGAAAATTTATGATGAAAAATCCGAAAATAGGGGCAAGCAACATTCTGATGATGGGAGAAGCCAGCTATATTGAAAATGTCTGATAGAAAATGGAAAAAGGAAATCTGCACGAATCAGAAGATTGGAGAAGCAATTTTTATTAACGGTGGAAAATTTACACCCTTTTGGTCAATTTAAATTTTCTGGTCTAAAATTACCTGGGGGCAGGTTTGTATTGAAAATTTCTGGTGTAAGTTTTGCACCAATCTGCTGCATGGAGGGGCAAGCTGAATTGAAAATTCCTGATGTAAAAATTGTCCAGTTCTGGTGAATGTAGGGGCAAGCTTTATTGCACATTTCTGATTGAAAAAAAAAATACAACGTTTTGGTGAATGGACGGGCAACTTAAACTTTACTTCTGAGAAGAACCTCAAAGGTATTGAATTCTGAGGACTGTTCCAAAAGAAAAGATTTCTGGGGATGATTCCATGAATATTCTGCGAATAATTTCTAGTGAATCCTGCAGATAGTTCCAAGATAATTCCGAAAAGAATAACGAGGAAATTAAATTTTGAGTGAAACTCCAAAGCGATGTTGAGGAAAATTCCAAGCTCATTCTGGAAAGAATTTCTGAAGAATACAGAGGAAATTCTTCTGAAACTTTAGGGAAATTTCAGTACCAAGGTGTTCTGAGAAAAAACAAGTTCAAAATATTCCGAGAAGAACCTCAAGGATATAAAATTCTTAGGACAGTTCTAAAATATTTCTGGGGGGTATTCCAAGAAAATTTT